AAAAGCGGAAATGGTCGGGAAATGGGGGCTTAGGGCTCAGGCCAAGGCTGGAAAATCGGGCTTTTTTGAGGCCAAGCGGTGGGGGCATAAAAATGTGTGCTTTTTGGTGAAAAGACGGCCCGATTCGGGCTCTGCGGCAAACTCGAAAAAAAAATTTTTTTGAAAAAAAATTTTTTTTTCAAGTTCCAAACTTCTGTCTGTTCTAACTTTTCGGAAAATCGACTCAAATCGAGTAAAAATTTGAAAATTTCAAGTCTAATTCAACGGTTTCGAAATGTCGCGGAGCCGAAAATCAGCGCGACGCGACCGCAACGCGCTTGACGACACAGAATTTTTGACGCAAAACTGATTTTCTGAGTTAGCTCAATTCTTCGCCGAGTATACTAAGCTCAACGTTGAAAATGAGCCATTTTTTTTGTCAAATTTTTCGTAACATCGGATAATTAGGGAGAAATTAGAAAAAAAACCGAATTTTCTTGGCCGCGGCCGACTTTTAGCGGAACCCGAGAGCCGCGACCGGCCGGTCTGACAGGGCTCAGGCTGAAAAAAAAATCCAAAATTTGAATTTCCTCATTTTCCAGGTCATCTTCGGCACATTCTCCCCGATCAGCTCCCTGTTCTCCGGTCTCTCCCTAAAACGATCCTACAAAGAGCTGATCACAGAGAGATCCTCGAAACTCGACGTCCTCGATATCTTCCGATTCATTGCAATCCTTTGGGTAATGCTGAATCATACTGGATCCGAGGGACGGATCGATATTCTGGAGAGACTCCCTTCAGCGGACGCCTTCAAAAGTGCCATGCATGATCATCCCGTGTTTGGAGCCCTCATGGGGAATAGTGCCCTTGGAGTTGAGATCTTTCTGGTGCTCTCTGGATTGTTGGCTGCTCGAAGTTGGCTCAGGAAGGCTGACGAACCATTCTTCCCTCACTGGAAGTCATTCATCACTCGAAGACTACTCCGTCTGGCTCCATCCATGTTCATTTTCGTTTATATCGCCGCTGGACCCATCATGGAAGCCCTACTCCCCAGATACTCTTCCTCCATGGTCTCCGCTTGTGGATTCTGGGGGATTCTATCCCATGTGACATTCACCTCCAACTGGCAGAGCACTCCAACCTGTATGGGATATCTATGGTACCTCGGATTGGATATGCAGTTGTACATGGTCGCCCCAATCTTCCTTAACATGCTTCACAAGTCTCCCAAGAAAGGGTTCCTTCTCACCATCACTACCGTAATCCTCTCAATGTTCATCCGTGCGGGTTACTGTACCGCCTATGGTACCTGCAATAAGAGTGACGTGGACATCCCCTTCATCTCCTACCCGGGACAAGATGCCGAGACCCTGAAGAGTATTTATGCAGGACTTTGGGATATGTACTCGAGACCCTACACCAAATGTGGACCATTCTTGATTGGACTCCTCCTAGGATATATTACAACAGCAGCCAACAAAGTAAGATTTTTCGGGGGGAAAAAACCCTAATTATCATAAATTTTTCCAGTACACAATGTCTCCATTGACCTCTAAGGTCCTATTCCGTTCGAGTCTCTTCGTCGCCATCACCACAATCTACGCAATTCTTCCCGAGTACTGGAATCCAGACGCCGGGAATACCGTATACAATACGATCTACACTGCCGTTTTTCGATCGGTTTTCGCGTTGGCCATTGGTGGAATGATTGCTGCGTTGTATTTTAGACAAGAATAGTGAGTTTTGAGTCGAAAAAACAGTAAAAAAAAATTTTTTGAAAAAAAATTTTTCGGAAAATTTTTTTTCGGTCAAACTTTTTTTTTTCGAAAAAATTATTGAAATTTTTTATTTTATTCTAATTTTCCAGAAAATCGATTAAAATCGAGCACGGGCTCGCGAAGTGTCCCCCTCGCAAAAAACTTTGACTGAAATTTTAGAAAGTGCGCTCCGCCGTACATTTTTCCAAAATTTTTCGAAAATTTATTTTTTAGTGTTTTTCAAGTCGATTGTAGTGTAGAAGTGCGAAAAGTGGAAGAAAAATTCAAAATCGACTTGAAAGTTGACAGGAAACCGAGCAAAACACCCTCAAAAACATAAAAAACAAGTGAGAAGCCTCCGTAAATCGACAAGCCACGCCCTGTGGGCGGAGCTTGACTTTCGCGGGCGTTTGAAAAATCAATCTAGAGGGACACTTTCTGAACACGTGTCGAGTCGGAAAAATTTGAAAATTTCAAGCCAAAAATGCTCATTTCCAATATTTTTCCCCGTATTTTTTCCCAATATCCCGAATTTTTCAGCCGTCCAACCCATCCAATCTTCGCCCTCCTGGCCAAACTCACCTACAACGCCTATCTCCTTCACATGCCAGTTGTCTACATCTTCAACTGGTTGCCATTCCTTCAAACCGCCACCTCACCAGTTCATCTTCTGTTGGTGCTGCCGTTCGTGGCGATTCTCTCTTTTATAGCGGCACTCTTATTCTATCTGTTTGTCGAGGCACCAATCGGTCATCTGACTTCTCAGTATGCCACGAGAATTGGTCTTTAAACTTTTTGATTTCTTTTTGTTGATTATTTTTTATCGGGAAAAGCTTTAGGACCCCCAATGATTCTATGTACATATTTCTTCATCTTGTTCCCTTTTCTGGTGCTTTTTTCATGTATTACGGGTGAACACTCACACTTTTCAAAATAAATAAGTATTATTTTCTTTCTTTTCATCAAATTGAGTGAAAAGCCGCTACGATACTCCGCGATTCCGGGCGATGAACATTGTTTATCATGAGTAATTTTTTCGTTTTTTTTTTTTGGAAAATTTGCCATAGTTCCCGTGTTTTTCAATAATTTTTTTGCATTTTTCTATCAAAAAATTACAGAAAATCGATAAACTAATACGTATCAAACACATTCGAGCACAAATTGAACGAGAAACCGGTGTCGCATCAATCTTTTTAACAAAAACACTTTTGAACTGATTTTTCGTGCTCGCATGTGCTCAATTTCAATCGATTTTCACCGAATTTTCTTGCTCTTCATCAGAAAAAAAATCTAATATCCGTTGAAAATTTGTCATAAACTTCGTTTTGAATTCATCGAAACAGTATGATTTTTTTAAAAGTTTTTTATTCGTTTTTATTGCTAAAACAAGAAATTTTCCGAGAAAATTGACTGAAATCGATCAAAAACCACTGAAAAACAGCAAAACCATCAAAAATTTATTCTGTCTAGTGCACACCACCCGCAATACTGCGGAGCGAAGTGTTTGCGTACACGATGACACGTATATTAACTTCGGTTATGCAAGGTGGGGGTCTCTTTCGTTCGGGTTCTAACAGCTGCCGTCTAGTGCTCATGCTAAGTAGACCTGGTGGGAGTATTCGTACCACTTATTTCAACTTCGATTATGAACGATGTTTTCCGGAGAAGGGAGTTTCTTCAAAAGAAGCTCCAAAAGTTTTTCGGAGTTGTTCGCGGATTTCCTTGAAGTTTTCGCTAGAATTTCCCTGGGATCGAGGTTTTTCCAAAACATTTCCAGAATTTTCCAGGGGGTCCCATGGGTAAAGGACCTAATGACGTCATGCTAATCCATCATCTGCCTGTCACATTTCCCATTGTTCCTGACGTGAAGGAATCCTTTGTTCCGTCACCTTTGGCATATTTTACTGTGACAGGTCATGACTGATCAATCAAAGTTAAAGAAACACCGCCGATTATGATGGAAAGGCTCCAGAACATTCCATTCGCCCCGCCCCCATCACTCCCATCGCCCCGCCCCCACAGTATATAAGGGCCAATCTGTCCCTCATTTCTTCAGTCGTACCCACGACTCTTCCTCCAGGGTTGCAGTTTCTGGTTCCAGACTCTAGACTGATTCATTTCGGTTGAACGTCACCGGAGATGGGCGACTAGGCATCGGAAATGCCACATACCTTTTGAAGGTTGCCTAAACAGGCTATTTATTTGTCCATTGATTGTATTTTAACACTTTTAGCTTTGATTGTCTATGACTGTTTCTAATCCTCCTCTTCCTTTTGTGCAGTTGTATTTTCTGGCTCCCCGGCCATGGATTGAGGCGTTTCGATCCGACGGTTGACCAGAGATCTACAACTTCTCGGCATCGCCATTTTCCATTCCTCAACCATCGATCCTCACATAACCTCTTATAGTGTTTCTTTCTTCTCCTTTATCGACATGCACCTTTAAAGCTCCGCCCACAAATTGCCACACTCTATGAAACCGGGTTTTAAAAGAGAAGGTAGAGGAAAAATTATTTATTTATTCCCTCCGAAATCGATTCAATTGTCTCCAATAGTCTAATGAATCCGATGCAATCAATCGTTGTCCATGTCCTGTTCGTTCCCTGGCCGCCAGTGCCATCGAGATTCGAGCTACCGCTGACATGGCGGAGAACGGGTCATGGCCTGAAAAACGGGTCAATCGGAGGACTAGTAAGTTCTCATTACTCACAATCACACTCTGCCACAATCAACCGTGGATTGGAAGCTGACGCCTCCTCCATCTCTCCTCCTTTTTGCACACCGTCGAGTAGGATGTCTGCTTGCCTGGAAGTATTGATTTTATGGTTTTTTTCATACTTGTGAAATCGGGGCCGGGCCCGCGGGCCAAGCGGGCCGGATTTTCCCCGGCCCGGCCCGCTCGGCCCGCACCGGGAAAATTTTTTGAAAATTTACCCCAAAATTATGGAAAAAACACAAAATTCTCAAAATTTTTCAATTTTTGGCTGATTCGTGATTCAAACCACTCAAACTACCCCCAACATGCAAAATATGTGAAATTTACAAAAAATCAGCTGATTTTTCGATTTTGAAAATTCAAATTCAAACTTCGCGGTAACTGGCGGGCCGAGCGGGACCGGCCCGGCCCGCTGTTTGGGCCGAACCGGGCCGGAAAAATCGGTCGCGGGCCGGCCCATCACAACTATGGTTTTTTGGGCACAGCTTTCAACCAGAGAGGGGGAGAGACCGCAGTGATATCTACGCCCTCTTCACCTATTCCGCTTGCGTCCCGCGTGGTGTAGTGGCTAACGCTCATATCTTAGAATTTTTCGGCGCGGGTTCGATTCCGGCCGGGGTCAAACTTTTTTGTTTTTTTTTCTAATGCCTGGCGACAAAAATTCCTCACCGAATGGCTCTCGATATCTCTGCCAAACAGTTCAAATCGTATCGAAACTCCCTCAGCGTCGCCCCATGATCCTTTAAAATCTGCGCGACGACTCCGATTTGTTTGCATCCTCCGCCAGTAACTGCCACCACTTCCGTCCCCTCCAAATAATTCTCTCCGAGTTGTGCTCGTTGTTTAACGTTGGCACCGATGTAGAGATTTCCGACGAACTGGAAATGGAAATTAGGCTCCGCCCACTTTTTTGGGCGCCGCCTGTTTTATTTTTCAGAAAAAAAAACTCACCCTTCTCGAGATTTTCAGCATTTTCAGCAAATAATTTTTGAAAATGTTTTGTTTTTCGAAAAAAAATCCAAGAAAATGGAAAATGAAGCACAAGAAAATAGGGGAGAAGAGTAGGAACTAATCCAATTTCAATTTCAATTTTCTCCTTTTCTTTTTGCAGACGAGGCTCCGCCCACTTTTACAACCCCCTCCAGCTGTTTGGAGGAGGAGGAGAAGGAGAAGAGCAAGTCAATTTGAGTCGCTGAGCTAATTATTTTCTTTGTGCTCTTTTTGTCCTTATTTTTCAAGCGAAAATAGGGAGAAAGAGCAAGAAATCGAAAAAAATTGTTTTGTTTTCAAATCTTCCTTTTTCAGAATGGAAAACAATGGGAAACGGACAAAAAAAAACGATGGAAAAATGGAGAAAAGATGGTAAAGATAACACAACAAAACAATAGATTTTCAGCTCTGATAAAAAAGGGGGAGGAGCCTAGAAAATCAATCTGAAAACGAGAAAAAATCAACGAAAAACATGGCTTAAAAGGGGCTAAAATGATGGAAAATTGGGTATTTTTGACTGAAAAATCTTCGAAAAACAGCAAGAATAAGTGACTTTTTTGGGGTTAAAATGGTGAAAAATTGCGGAAAAAACCGGGGAAAATTCAAAATTTAATGCTCATCCTCGGTGTGCTTCTTTCTCTTCTTCGGAATCTCCTCCTCCTCTTCCTCTCCATTTTCAGCTTGTTGTTGTTGCTCGTGGAGACGTTTCAGACGCTTCTTTTCCTGAAAAAAAAAATGGAATTTTCGGAAAATGTCAATCATTTTTTTTTGTTTACTACATTTTTTCTTAATTTCAATTTATCAGCAGTAGCACTCTTTCCAACTGAATTATCATCAAAAGTGCATGCACTTTTGACAGGAAAATTGACAGTTTGGAGACGTTTTTGACAGAAAAAAATGCAACAATTTGCTTCGAAACAAGGGAAAAATGTCAAATATTCTAGCGATCAGTGTAAGAGAAAGTACTGGCCGAAGATCCGACAACTTGACGGCTCCCGATATCTCACCACGAAAACTACCGTATAAATTAAATTGCTACCGTAAGAATGATCAAAGTTCATCAATTTTTATCGATTTTCAGCGATTTTTCTAGCTTTTTCTCAGAAAAAAAAATATTCGTTGAAAATTGATAAAAATTGAACAAAATTCGAAATTTCTTACGGTAGCAATTAAATTCATACGGTATATTTCATGGTGAGATATCGGGGCCGTCAAGTTGTCGGATCTTCGGTCAGCACTTGTTTTTACACTGATTAGACTTGTGAAATCAGGGCTGGGCACCCTAAAGCTCCCAGGCCCAGCCGTAGGTTGATTTTCAGGACCCGGCCCGGTTGGCATGCCCCGTACTGGAGAAAATTTCGAAAGTTTCCAAAAAATTTCCCCAAAACTATGAAAAAAAACACAGAAATTGTCAATATTTGGCAGCTCCCAACTTGCTCATTTTTCGATTTTGAAAATTCTCGAACTTCGCGGTAACTGGCGCGCCATCGAAATTTTTGAAAAAGCGCGGCCCGACCCATCACAAGTATGACACTGATGGCCATAATACTACCTTACCTTTTTCAATCTCTTCCTCTCAGCTTCCTCATCCTGCTCCCCCTCTTGATCCACCAATTCCTCCTTAACTTCCACCTTAACCTCCTCCATCAATTCCTCTCGTTCTCTCTGCTCTCTTCTCAATCGTTTTCTCTCCTTCTTCTCCGCTTTTCGACGAGCCTTCTCCTCCTCATCCACCTCATCCAAAATCTCTGTTTTCACCTCTGTCTTAATTTCCAGATTTCCTTCTTGAGCCTGAGCCGCAGCCTCTCGTTTCGCCTTCATCGCCGCCATTTTTGCGGCAAAATAATCGCCGACGGAAAGCGTGCTGACCGTGTTGTTTCCCTCTTTTTTATCCTCTCCACTGTCCTGAGAATTTTGGGAGTTTTCAGAATTTTCTGGCGATTTTTCTGGAGATTTTTCCGGTTCTTCCGGTGCCTGATTATCGGATTTGAGACGTCCGTAGCCCAGGATTCCTTTTTTGTGACTATCGGTGTAGTTGGTTGTGTCCTTGGCTCGGGTGAATTTTTGGTAGCTGGAAAATGGTATTTTTTGGGGAATTGGGTCAAAAATTCGGCAAATACTCAACTGCTATATTTGGCTCTTTTGCTATGGATCAACTGCTATAGCCAGAAACATCAAAAGTGGCAAAAATAGCAGTTGATCCATAGCAGAAGAGCCAAATATAGCAGTTGAGACAATAGCAGTTGAGTATCTACCCATAAATTCGAACGTACTGAATGCGTCTCCGAATGGATTTACTCTTCAACTCAATCGACAACTTCTCGGCCGCCTGTGTCTTTTCCTCCTCAGTCTGCTCTGGCTCCGCCTCCTTATTCTTGTTGAGTGCCACCAACAAATCGGCGAAATCGTCGTGATGCGAAATCCACGTGGAATCGTAATCGGCAAGTTTGTCGGCTCCAAGACCACGTCCCGAGTGATTCGCCTTGAGTTTGACGGCATTTGAGTCTCCTTGACGATTACGTCCGAGACCGTCTCCCTCCGACCATCCCATCTTTTCCATTAGTTTTTTTGAGAATCTGAGAAGGGATTGGTTTAGTTTGGGAGAGAAAATACTCAGTTGCTAATTCTCAGTTGCTACAATTTTCTCTTTTGCTATGAAATGTTGCTCATATGCTATTTCCCGAAAAAAACTGAGTTTCTCATTTGCTAGTGGTTTTCTTAATTGCTAGTAGCATTGATCTTTTGCTATCGATTTTCTCTTTTGCTATTGCACTAGCAAATGAGCTAATAATAGCAAAAATCCATGTCCTAGCAAATGAGAAATAGCACCTTCTCGGAAAATAGCATATGAGCAACATTCCAAAGCAAAAAAAAATTTTTAGCAAAAAACTCAGTTTCTAGCAGATCTTTTGCTACTTCTCAGTTGCTAGAATCTGCTCTTCTGCTATAGTGGATCTTTTGCTATGAAATTTTGCTCAGTTGCTAGAAGCATGGATCATTTGCTATGAATGTATCATTCGCTATTCAATAGCAAATGATCTATGTTACTAGCAACTGAGAAATCCAATAGCAATTGAGCCACACAATTTTTCTGGGTATAGCATATGAGAAAACGTCAAATAGCAAAAGAGCAAGTCGTAGCAATTGAGAAGTAGTGAAAGATCTGCTAGCAGCTGACCTAAAACTCACTTTTGATCGTCATTTTTCCATTGCAAATTCTGCGGATCCACACTAATTTTTTGTTTTCTTCGTGGCTCTGCCAAAATCGACATTGCTCTCAAATTTGAATTTTTTTTTCAAAAATTCAAGAAGCGTCGAGGGAACCCTGAAAAATTGGCATTTGAGCGTGGTTGCTCTCGGGAAAAATAGAAAAATTTCGCAAACAAGGATATAAAAAGTGTCCAAAAACACTGAAAATTGGAGGGAAAAAAAGTATTTTGAAAAATAGATGTATTTTTTGATTCAAAATTTTGAATCCACAGATAAAACTGAAATAAATTACTACGAAATCATACAGTTTGGGAGCGATGAGAGGCCGAGAGAAAGAGCTAACAAATAAAGTACCAGATCGACGGGGGAAAATGATGGGAAATTGATGAAAATTAGAGGTGAAAAAACCCTAAAATCTACCGGAAAAAATATTACAGAACGGAGAAAAAAAATGATAAAAAGAGAAAAAAAATTATGTCTCCTTGACCAAATCCAAAATCCACACTTCACTCATTCCGACCATTTTCATCGGTGGTCCCTGATACAACGATCCAGCGGTGACCATCAACTGTCCGCCGAACGGGATCTCATAGAGTCCATAGAAGTATGGCAGCAACCAGTAGACCACCGGAATCACCACATAAAACTGTCCGGCATGAGTGTGACCAGATAGGATCAGATCCACTTTGGAGAGCTCTTCCGGATGATCCACAAGGAACTCTTTGATGGATGCGGGGTTGTGGGACATGACAATCTGAGTGGTGTTCTTTGGACAACGTTGCGTGGCCTTTGGAAGATCCATTTCGTGATTCAGAATTCCAGATTTTGGACTCGAAATGTCGTTGACACCGGCTAGACACACTCCTTTTAGCATTTGACTTCTGGAAAAGTTGAAATTGCTAGATACTTGTTCAAGCTGTGTGACTTACTCATTCTCCAGCACCGTAATCTGTCCATCTCTGTAGAATCGCAGCCATTCGTGCACATCTCCATAGTAGTATTCGTGATTTCCAGTGACAAAATAGGTCGGAGCGTGGACGGGGAGTTGGCTGAAAAATTGGCGGTTTTATGACGGTCTAGAGCCATTTTTGGGTAGATACTCAACTGCTATGTGAGTGATCAACTGCTATTTTGTAGCAACTAGCGTCTCAACTGCTAAATTTGGCTCTTTTTCTATGGTTCAACCGCTATTTTCGCCACTTTTAATGTTTAAACTGCAATGGCTATTGTCTCAACTGCTGTCGCTATTGCAGTTGATATATAGCAGACGAGTCAAACATAGCAGTTGACACACTAGCAGTTACAACATAGCAGTTGATCACCCTCATAGCAGTAGAAATACATAGCAATTGACAATCTATCGACACTCTTTAGCTATTTCTGAACCAAAAACTCACAGAACAGGACGAACTCTCTCCTCAA